AAAAAAAATCATTTATATATGAAAAATAACTACGAAGATCACTTATAACTATAAAATTTACATATGGGTAAAAAGATTAAACCTAAGTAGAAATTAAATTATAAGTTAAAAAATTTACTTATAGTTAAAATTTTATTTATAAGTCAAGAATTTAATCTTAAGGAAAAATTTCATTTTGAAGTTAAAAAAAAAATTCACTTATATGTAAAAAATTTACTTTTCAAGCTTAAAAATTGATAAATATCTATGTCAAAGTCAACAATTAATTTTAATAATATATTTTATGAAACTTTTCAATCAAATATTTCCATAAATTATTTATTTATTTTTTGATTGTACCAAAAGCCAATTCGAAGAATCTTCCCTAATATATCTCAATATGATGCCCTAATCCTATTCCACCTACTTCCATCCTTCCTAATTCTGTTCACCCTAATCCAATATGGTGCACTTATTGGGTAATTCTACTGTTGGGCCGTCTATCAAATGGATCGAGTCGAAACCTGGCAGATTCGGCATGATTATGACCCAAGATTTGACCCGAACTGGGCCTGCAAAGGACTTGATACAAATTTTTTTTCTTCTGCAAATCCTAACAAAGATAATTGATTGACAGATTTGAGTTGAAAAAAGAAAAAGAGTTATTCAAGCCAAAAAAATAAAAAATATATAATAATAAAATCCTGTTATTTTGCTAGGAAGAGGGAGAGAAATAGAAAAAATTCAATCAAATATGAACATTAACCCAACAATTATTGGGATGTAACATATTTATCAGGTCCAAGAATGTAACGCTTGCAGAGATTAAACAATATTATGAATAAAATGTTATATCTTTATATTCTTAGGTTTAATATCGTTTTGCTGTGATTTAAAAAATCATTTTTGTTGTGCTAAAGAGACCTTTTGGAACAGTCGACTAAGTATTTGACAAATTTTTGGTTCAAAATTGCTGAAAATTTATCATTTTAGAGTTTGGTCTACAAAAAATTATTTATCATTGTCGGTATATAATTACTTTAATGGATATTGATTATATAATATTGTACTTTATTATTATTACTATCATCAATAGTATTTGATAATAAAATACGGTTGATAAATATTCAAAAATAAAGAAAAAAAAATAGATTTTTAGCAATTTGGTATCTCAATTTATTTTTTGAATATCAATAAAACTAGTTTTAAAAGGAATTAATTTACGGGGTGTCATCAACTAAGGTTTTGATGGATTTCAAAAGATTATAAATTCTAATAAATTTCGTGAATTTGAATGGATTCCCATAAATTCCATAAGAATCCCATTAAATATTGTGAAATTTCAAAAGATTTGGTTAATATGTATTTTTAAGTTTGAAATCTATCCAAATCTTATGAAATCTTTATATATCCACTAATTATTGATGATACTTAAATTTTAAAAGATTTCAATGAATTTCATTAAAATGTTAATTTGGGACATCAAAATTTTAATGGATTTTAATAAAATCTCAATTGAGGATACCTAAATTTGGAATGACTTCTAAAATTCATCACAATCTCAATTGAGGACACTGTAGCATGATCGTGTTGTTTTTTTCTCTTCCATGCTCTCATTTTCCCATTGTATTCACGTTTCTTTTTCACGAAAAGACGATAAACCTATAATCAAATAGTTAGCCTATTATTAATGACTTTCAATATATATTTTTTTTTTTTTGTGCCTTTATCATGAGCATTTGGGCACGGTAACATCTTTTTATTTTATTTTATTTTTTTTGGTGAGGTTATTTTGACATGATTTCAATTATTTTATTTGCTTCAGTCCGTGATAGTTTGATGATTATATACAAAAACAAGTGTTTTATTATGAAAATTGTATGGAAAACTTTCTAAAGGTTATAAAAGTTTATGAAAATATATACAAGTCTTTAAATATGAAAGTTTATGAAAACTCTTCATAATTCTGGAGAATATATATAAAGATCAATAAAAATTTATGAATCTTACCATAATAATAATCGAATGACTAAATTAAATAAATCTTTTAATTTTATATTATCATTATATTTTAATTTTTTGCACCACATTTGTATTACATTTCAATTTTTGTTCATAATAATATTCACGTTCTCTACCTTTTTTGTCGCACTCTTATCCCATTAATTAGGATATCTCGTTTTAATAATCAATTTCATCCCAAAAGCTTATTGGGATGACGTAGAATGAATTATTTTGTCATTTCCTTTTCAAAAATATGATAAATACAAAAATATGATAAATTTTTTTTCGTCATGTCAATGTAGGCAAACAGAATAGTTTGATACAAATCATCATAAATGATGAGATGTACTAATGGATGAAAAATTAAAGATAACAATTCATTGATGAAAGGAATTTTGTGTTAAGAAATTTAACAGATGCAATGACATAATTTGAGGTAGCAGCAAATGTTTTGATGAAAATACTAATTGTTTTTAACTTTCAAATAGTCCAACGATAAAATATCATGTGATATTATGTCAAAACATTTGACACTGCATCATGATTCATTTAACCCAAAATCTCGACTATAAATTAAAGAGAGAAAATTCATTGAAATCGGCCAAATCGACCTGACCATCCCCATTCGAATCGATTTGGGTCATTATACTTTCAAATAGGATTTTATTTTGAATGATCGATTTGATAGCCCAACTAACTGGTGCTAAATCCTATTAAGCCCCTGTTTGGCCCCCATTACGGGGAAAATTTAATGTATAGAATAGTGTTTTTTGAAAAATGAGTGGTTGAAAAAGAAAGAAAAATTTTCGATTTACGTGTAATATTATTTTATGAAAGATTGTGTGGTTAAAAATAGGAGAGAGAAAAATGTAATGTAATGTAATGAAAATCAAACAAGGGCTAAATAGGACAAATAGTTCTGTATTTCACCCAACATTTCGTGGTGGTTCGAGTCACACACGCGAATTGGGAAAACTCTACAAGTACAATTTTTTTTAACAGAATTGGTACAGAAAGATAGCTATAACAACAACTAATAGGAAGATAAGCTATATTTTTGTATAACTCTGTAGAAAAAATCTATATTTATAGGATTATTCCGCGAACTGTGAGTACTACAAACGAGTAGTCATAGTCCATGACGTAATAGGGTAATTGAATTAACCAACTTTATTCAAAAAGGCCCAGATTTTCAAGACTCTCACGCTCAAGCCAACTTTTCGCTCCCTATACCTATACCTTGTGCCGCTGGAAAATTCGTTTCGATCTCGCCGATTATGCCCGGCAAGTGCTGATCAAAGTAATCAGATTTGAATATTCTCATCCGTTATTTATAAATACTCGCACATGTATTGATAAAGGAACAGATGAATCGA